AAAAAAAAAAGTCCATGAACAGTAAATGATGGAGATAAAATGGGAAAAACATTAATTGAGAGGGATAAAATTGGACGACAAAATGCTTCACAGATGAACAGTAACCTGTGGATTGACTCTTTTAATATAGTAGGGATAAAAAGTAACTAATAGAAAGTTTCAGAAGACTTTGAATTATCGATCCAACAATTAGGCCATGTTTGATACCCCTTAAATTTCTTGAAGTTTTACATTTTCCAACTTTAACCTTGTCTGATAGCAAAAATTTACTATGGAATTGGTTTTCCAAGATTCATTCCCACGTGCACATTTTTTTCAAAATACGTGAATTGATTTTCCCACCATTTTGGTGGGAAATGGAATTCTAGTTTTTTTTTTTTTGGCAATAGAAACAAATTTCATAACCAATTGTAAAAAAAAAATTCACTTAAATTGACAATTTTCATGTAAAATAAAGTCAAACGAACACTAAATTTTGATTAAAAAAAATGATTTTTTAGGAAATATTTTTTTTTATTTTTTAGCAATGAAAATAAATTTTATAACCAATTGTAGAAAAAATTATCACTTTAATGGACAATTTACATGTAAAATAAAGTTAAACGAACACAAAATTTAAAAATTTTTCGGGTGAAAAATTATATCAATCTAACACACTTAATTAACAATTCCCTACAAAACAATTTCTAAACAATTACTTTTCCTGAAATTCATTTTTTTTCCACCATTGCAATCAAACGGACCTTTACATTCATCCATTATTTTGAATTGAATCCAAAAAATGAAATATTTAAAAGAAAAATTCAAAACTAGAAACAATTATAAGTGTGATGTGTATACTTTAAGATCTCATTTAGTGCACCATATTAAGCTATAAGAAAAAAAAAAGTATAATATTTATAATATATAGTAGTAGGTGGATGATATTATGCCTTTGTTTGTCCTCAAAATTTTTAAAATTTATTTTTAATACTAAAATATTTTATTTCATCTACACTTTTATAAACTTTTTAGCCACATATTTCATCATTTTTTTTTATCAAAATCTTATGAAAATTTGATTTTTATCTAAACCAAATAGGGACTTTAATGGTTCTCTTAATAAAAAATGGTTAAATATATTTTTACCATATTTTTAAATAACTAGACTATATTTTAATTGCATGAAATGTTCACAACATTTACACATTATCACATATACATCTCAAACTTTTTTTTTCATCGTATTCTTATTCTCATAAATTTTTTTTGAATATGGTTTCTCTTCAAATTATTCTTTAAGATAGAGTAAAAAAATTCATTTGCACTTTATATTTTTAAATAAGCAAAACAAAAAATAATGGAAGAATGCGATTAACTATTTAACACTCGTTTTAAAGCGCGTTAATAATATTATAGAACGAAATGCATGAATAAGGACAATTTTTTATGACCAATGAAATGTGGAAAACAAGAATGTAATGAAAAAAACGTAAATGATATAAGTGTGATAATGATTAAAAGTTAATGAATTTTAATGCAATTAAAATGTGGTGTATTTACCAAAAAAATAAAATAAAAAATATTTTGAATATAACCACCCATAAAAAATATAATTTATACTAGCTGTCTTATCTGGTCTAGAGCATTTTACACTCTCATACTAAATTACTCTACTGAAGGTGCAAATGAATTCTTTACAAAAAAAATAAAAGAATGTTTTCTACCTTAGTTTAGTCCATCATATTCTAATCTAAATTACTGTACAATCTAATACGATACTCCAGACTCAAATATAAAATTTGTATAATATCATTATATTTGTTTGAAATAATTTAATAAGTTGATAAAAAGTTAAAGTCTAAGTTAACAATTAATTTTAATAAAATATTATTAAAAACAATTTTGATCAAAATTCGCTTAAATTCTTATTAAAATTTTGTTAAATAACCCCTTAATTTTATCTCGAGAACAATAATGAGCGTTTCGTTTTCTTTGTTGAACATAATCCCGAAATCCGCGAGAAAAAGGCAAGCCTGGCCCCCTATGGCCCGCCGCCACCAAAGTTAAGAGAGATAATGCTTGTCAGTGATAACTCCTATGGAGAGAGGAAGCTCCCTACTTCGTTTGTATTCTCCCCACCGGCCCACCCCCAACACACACCTCACACAAAACACGCATAGTTAAATATTCTTGGTCAAAAATCCATCAACAAAAAGGAGTAAAGAAGCTTCTTTTTTTAACTTCAGATTTGCTGCAAAGTTAACTCCATTAGTTTATTCTTCTTCAAAGTACACAAAACCCCATTTCTGATTCTAACTCAGGTACTTTGTCACTGCATAATCTCCTTTAAGGCATCTATTTTTCAAGAAACATATAAACATCTCTATATATTTGTTTATTTTTTCTGGGTCTGGAAGGTTTTGGGTTTCAAAAACCGCAGTTGAAAGGATTTAAGTTCTGTAGAATGTGAAAGTGAAGGTTGATGATTTGTGCTTGAAGAATTTGAATAGGTTGCAATTGGCTTTTTTTTTTCTTTGTGCGTGCTTTATGCTGGAAGTTTTCTGGCTGCTTTCGGATCACTGGGATGCTATTAATGAATCTTGAGATTTCAGATTTGTAAAAATTTTTGGGCTAACATTAAATGTTTGAATATTTAATTTCTTGTAATTAGTTTTCTTATTTGTTTTCATTTATCGCAAAGTCTTAACATGTTATCTTTGCCTCACTTTTGACTTTTATGGTTGCTTAATTAATTTTCAACAGTTTTCCTCATTTTCGTGAAAAAAGGATTCCTAGCTTGTAAAAAAACCGCACGAGTTTGTCTATATGAGCACGGAGGCTTCGATGTCATGATTATGTTACTCTTTTTTTTGTGGGTGAAGTAAAATTTTTTCCATGTGCTTCCTAGTAGTTTTATTGGAAACTGAATGCTTTCAATAATTAAATCGTATTTTAGATGGAGGTGGTTATTTCTTATATAAATTGATACTTTAAAGAGAAAATTAACTAAACCTGCTTGAAAATAGTTGATTGCTATCGTGGTGGAACTAGATCTTATGATAAGATCACTTTTAGACCGGGCGTTGGTTGGTTGTGAATTACTCAATGGAATGGAGGTTCTTCAGTTTTATCTGGCTCCTGTTTGTTTTACTTGTGGAAGCTTCCCCTTATGGAATTGTCAATTCTCTGTCCTCCCAATATAATTGTGACATGCGCATACTAAAGTTTTTACAAAGCCATGCCTGGTTAATAGCTAACCATGCTTCCTATATCTTTAACTTATGCTTTTACCTCCTCCTCCTTGGTTGATGTTAAAGATTTTTTTTTTTTGAAGGGAAAAAAAAAATGTTAATTTTTTTGAAGGGAAAAAAAAATGTTAACATCATCGTTGTATTTGACAGATCTGGCAATTTTGGATGCTCGTACGCATAAACTGGGCAATGTATTATACTCGGTTATAGCTTGAATGCGAGTCTAACTTGACATCAGATGCTATGACATTATCAAAGAGGGACCTGCTTATTGCAGTGTTTGTGTCCGCATGTTTGTGTTCTTTTGTCGCTCCTGATGCACAAGGTATTAACTATTATGCTGATCACATTTTTATGTTAACTGAACAGTGAAAAATGCACTGTGGACCTGTTACTCTTAACAAGCTTTTTAGCAATGACTTCTCATATTAATAATGAACACTGAGCATAATTTCTCTTTCTACCCCCCTTGTTGCACAATTACAACAGATCTTTTTTTGAGTGTAAGCATATGCATATACATACATATACATGAAGACACTTGAATATGAATTAATTTCTTTTTTCTTCTTATTATAGTCTCAAGAAAAGCTTCCCCTATAAATGAAAATGGTCTCAAAAATGGATAAATTTAATTTCTCGATTCTGGATGAATTTCTAACTGCTCCATCTCAATTAGATTTTTCCTTCTAATTTAGAAACTGTCATACAATGCAAACAGTAGATGTGCCAATGTTATTCATGAAGGTGTGAATGAGCAAGGCAATTCTCTGCCATTGTTTTTTGACACGCTTACTCCCTCTTTTTCTCTATTTGAATTCCTCGCGTTTGATGGAAATTTAAGTTTTCAGACTTGCGTATGCTCCTCTATCTTCCTAACGAAAATGCACGTTTCTTACATCTCCATCTCTCTTTTTTCAGAACAACGTATAACTGATCCTTGTGTAGTCAAAAAGTTGAAATTAGACAGGAGGTTGTATGTCATTGGAATTTGCATGCAATAGTTTGATTGAAAAAAGTTGCGATGATCATTTATGGATATTTGTTAACAACTGGTGGATAGTTTGTTGGAGAAAATCAAATTGAAGATTTTAAATGAGCTGTCACCCCTGACCTACTATTTTCATTTAGAAAAACGATTCCTTTCAATTTGTTGGATCAAATTTGTACAGTGGTACCCTTGAGGAAGTAGGATTAATAATGTCAGTTCAACTGATAGTTTGCAAATGTGGTCTTACAATTTTACTGCTAAGAAGTACGAATTCGGATACGCAATTCGAATACAATACCATATGGGTACGGCTTACTTTTCAACAAAACTGAGGATATGTGGATACATGTGTATGTATATACATATGCGTGTGTAGTATTTTTCATAAGTTAAATATGAAAAATTCACCATAATTTCATTATTATAAAAAAACATTAAAACAAAAGTCTAACAATAGTATCTTATCTTAATCTTTAATTGTTTAGCTTCATTTTCTTCAACATCACTACCGTCAACTTTTTCATTATTATTAAAAATAACAATATCAAACTTTGGCTCATCTAATGATAGCAACTTCAAGTAGGGATAAATATATAATTTTTTGCAACAAAGTATTGCAATGATAAATATCTAATTTTTCTTATCATATTCTTCATTCAATAAAAAAAAAGTATTGCAACGAATAGTTAATATTTCTTGTCTCTTATCTTTTTCTTATTTTGCATTTATATTGAGAATGAGGCTTAGTTTGTTGTTGTTGGTGTTTTTGTTTTGTATTTGACTTTTATGATATGGGAATGATGAAACTGATAGCTGTAAAAATGAAATGGCAAAACACCATCTATCCAAGGGCAGCATATGTATTTATCCTAGTGAATTTGAAAAGCTTCTAATACCACAGTATACCAAGTTTGGTCACAGGTCACTATACGTAATGAATTCTATCATTATAAATTTGATTAATATGTAATGTATGACTTTTGCCAATTCACTAATCTTGTTTTCTTGATCCAATCTTTTCTGCATTTGAGTTGCCATTTTGCTGGCGTGTTACAATTAACTGAGGTGACAGTTGGGACTTATTTCAGGAGATGCACTCTATGCTTTGAGGTCTTCACTTAATGCTTCTAGTAATCAGCTCGTTGATTGGAATCAGAATCAAGTCAATCCTTGCACTTGGTCCAAAGTTATCTGTGACAATAATAACAATGTTGTGACAGTGTAAGAAATTTTATGATGTCAATTCTTACTCCCTTTTATAAACATGCATGCTCAAATATTGCTTCCTTGAATTTGATACGTGGACATATGCTGGAATATTTTGTGTCATGTAATTTCTGGGTCTGTTTTGTGGTAATAATTTCATCATTATGATTAGTAAGCACACAATTATTTGTCTCTACTTGCAGGACATTGTCTAACATGGGATTCTCTGGGACCTTGTCACCAAGAATTGGGATTTTAACGTCGCTGACGACACTGTATGTTTAGGGAATTTGGAGCTGTAAAGTTGTTTGATTGTCCTTATTTAAATTTTTGGTTCTTCAATTTGCTTAATACAATTCTCTGAGCTTTTAATTATTTAATTTTTGTTTTATCTTCTATGGAAATACGTAGCACTTAAGCATGTCTTTTGATACTCTTGCTTCTGGGGAATATTTTACAGCTAAAATGTTTTGATCAATCAGTGCATGATATTTTACAGAATTCTTGTGTAACAACTGCAAAATGGTTTATGAAGTCCATCATTTGTTAGTTTTTTATTATGAAATGGGATGGATTTTCAGTCCACAAATTAGATACATCGAATGTAGTTTTTCATAAGCAGTATATTATGACATTTAGATAAGTCAATGAGATTCTTCATGCATATTTGTAAATGATCTAAGACAACAGCAGTTTCTCTCCAGTGAAATTCATCTACTAAGTGGTATACCGGTACATGTACACGTCTTCATGTTTATGTAGGAAAGCTAGGAATAGCAGCTTACTCACATATGCTAAAGAAAATCATTTGTGCAATGTTTTGTGCAGTCATTACATTATTGAATTGTCATTTCCAGAAGAAATGCCCTCTCTTAGTTGGTGAATATTAATTATTAATGAGAAACTTGAACACTGGTGGTGTTCCATGCACTACAGATGCCATATATACACTACCACATTAACTAGTTGATATAAAAATCTTTACTGCAGACAATTACAAGGAAATGGCATAACCGGTAAAATACCTTTGGAGTTCGGAAATTTGACGAGCTTGACAATGTTGGATCTGGAAAATAACAATATAACTGGAGAAATACCAAATTCCCTTGGAAATCTTAAGAGGCTTTCGTTCTTGTAAGCATAAAAAACAGATTCATTAGCATTTATTCATTTTTTGACCATCAAAAACTTAAGACATACTTTTTCGTTGAAGTAGGATTTTGGGTGGAAACCATCTCTCTGGTTTGATTCCGGAATCACTTTCAAGTCTTCCCAACTTGGTTAGCCTGTAAGTGATTTATTTTGTACAATGTATTATGGTAAAATCCTTGTCTTGTATATATATAAGAATGGACGCTAACAGCTCCTCAAAATTGACTTTTGCTGTGAAGCAATATGCTTGACCTTTATTAAGGTTTGTGTTACATGGCACTGACAAAATTCTTTTGCAGTCAGCTTTCTTCGAATAATCTCAGTGGCCAAATACCTGAGCAGTTATTTCAAATTTCCAAGTACAAGTATCATCTCTCTCTCTCTCTCTCTCCCACCCCCCCTCCCCCCCTCTCTTATCTACGTACCTACCTACTTATCAACTTATATAACTACCTGCATGAGGAGATGTGTGTGCATTTGTGTACGTACTTATGAACATCTAGACGTGTATGGATGAATACCTTTTCATCACATTTATCACATTGACATCAAATGAGCTTAAGTTGCTTTCTTCAGTTTTACAGGGAACCACTTAAATTGTGGCATAAATACTGTCCACCGTTGTGCATCCGACAGTGGAGGTATATGCACCTTACATTTTCACTACTCTAGGTTGTGTAGATTGTAGGTGTTGGATATAGGACGTGTGTCCTGTGAGATGAATGAAGAGCAAATGTTCAAAAATGATTTAGCAGCTAGATTGTTTTGAATAATTTTACACCAGTATCTCCATTGAATTTGACACAAGAAAAGTTATTTGGAAAATATAAGTCAAATATCTCTATCTTGGCAGGTGCTTCAAGTAAATCAAAGACGGGTATGATCATAGGGATCGTTGGTGCACTCTTGGTTATTCTTCTTGGAGGTTCTTTTCTGTTATTTATGTGGAAAGCTAGGCGCAAAGGCTACAGGCGTGAAGTTTTTGTGGATGTTGCAGGTTTGTCTTAAATTTTGGTTATAGTGAACATTTTGTATATTATGATCTCAGCAAGAGATTCTGAATAATTGTTCTACAGTATACGTCTGTAACAACATTTTATGAATTGAACTGTCGTATATAGAATGGCATTGAAAGTGCTTGTAGTTTTATCAGAAGTCATCCACTAATATTATAGCCTGTAATGGGATGTCTATGGTTGCATAACAGTTAATTATAATCATGGGAAAAAAATAACAGTTAATTAGATTCTCTTGTGTGTTCTTCTTTTTGTATTCATAAGATCCATTAACATCTGCATCAGGTTTTTGTTGTTCAAATTACAAGAGCTATCAAAACTGCAAAATTGAAAATCTGTTTTGATATTTTATTTGCAACGATGAATGCTCAGGTGAAGTTGATCGGAGAATTGAATTTGGACAATTGAAGAGATTTGCATGGAGAGAGTTGCAGCTTGCTACAGATAACTTCAGTGAGAAAAATGTCCTTGGACAGGGAGGTTTTGGGAAAGTCTATAAAGGAGTGCTTACTGACAACTCAAAAGTCGCTGTTAAACGTTTGACTGATTTTGAGAGTCCTGGTGGAGATACAGCATTCCAGCGTGAAGTTGAGATGATAAGTGTGGCTGTTCATAGAAATCTTTTACGGTTGATTGGGTTTTGCACCACACCAACGGAGCGCCTTTTGGTTTATCCCTTTATGCAGAACTTGAGTGTCGCCTCTCGTCTAAGAGGTATCACTTAGTTTTGTTACTTTTTAATTGCAGACTAACATTTGTATGTAGAGTAATTAATTGTGAGTTTAAGTTATCTGTGTTCCATTGCTGGGTAAGGTATACATTATGTTAAGGACATGCATGGGTTTATTAGCTGTTTAGAAGACTATACTTGGTGTTTTCTGTGTCTTCATCTTTATACATGTGGTACTGGACTTGTATGAATTTTTGATGAGCATTCTTTCTGGATCTAACATCATTCATGTAGAAACTTTCTTTGGAAATACTTATTTCACATATTTTTATTGATCTTTTTTTTTTTTGAAATATATGACAGAGAATAACTGTGACACACCTATTCTGAACCGTTTAGCTGCAAATTTGAATTGTACACGCGAAGATATTAGGAACTAACTACTACTTTGGGGCCCTTGCTTTCAGGCCAATGAAGCAATACAAAATTATTGGACTAGTTTTAGACTCCTTTAAACAGGACCATCAGGATTTTGAAGAGGAGATTCACTAACTAATTAAAGGAAAAATGGGTTGAACCCTCGAGGAAACAGAAGCAATTCTCATCATAACCCTGACATTTTTAAAGTCCTTTGAATTTTTAATTATTGAAAAGAAGAATGATTCTTGTTTTGCAGTAATCAATTAAACTGTTCTTAAGAAGCTTAAGTCGGTGTTAAATTACATCTTGGAAAGAGACATGCTGTAGAAAAGCAGTTTAGAATTGATACAATCTCTTTTGCCTCCAATCTTGGAAAGGGACATGCTTTGGGTGGTCTCATTATGATCCTAGCCCATTGACATTTTCCATCCATGTTGAATTGCCACATTAGAAACCATATCTACCAAGAGAATAAATTATCTTGAAAAGTGAGTAATAATAGTGACAGTGCGAGATTGGAACAATCAAATGTAAGCTTAAGTAAAATTACTTTGGTTCTGCTGAAACAGAAACAAATTATGATAGGATTTAGCATAATAACCTCCGTAATTCAGGTGACTCACCGAGAAAATGTTTTAAATTAACCTGGTTCTCTATGTCGGTTGACCCTAATGGCATGTTTGTGAGGATTGGATAGTATTCGTCTTAATAAAAGAAACTAAAATCTTGTTCACTGTCCCATCCCATGTATGGTACTTTGTACCAAACATGCACTAAAATTACAGCATGTATACAGTTAGAAGAGATGCCTTCTGAGCATCTATCTTTAGTTTGCTGATGAAGCCTTTCTTTTCTCTTTTTTTTTTTTATGATGATAAAGATTTCGAGAATTGTTTAGTCTGACTCGGATGGTAAAAAGAAAGGAAAGAAAATGAAAAAATAGTCTCTTTAAGACAATTCTTTACCATTACAAAAGACATTGACTAAATAGAAAATTTTGGATGGTTAGCAGGGTGCATTAAGCAGCTTTACATACCATTTGACACCATGAGATGTTTTTGATTTTAAGGAATTCCTCTGGGGCTTGGCTCTATTGACGTAGGATCAATTTCCTTTCTATCTCTACCTAACGACCACTAAGAATTTCTCGATACCTGATATTTATAAATGTAATTTAGGTTCCGTTGTGACAAGCTCATTAAAACATTTAAGTCTTGCTATTGATCTGCTGCCTCATATCTTCAGAAGCAAAATAATGCAGAAAGCTAATGCTGGTTGATTTTTAATCACTTCATAGACAGCATTGCAACTTTTGCAATCAAGTGGCTCTTTGTTGTAGATGCTTCATTTTTATTTAGGTAATCCTTTTACACATTAACATTTATTTTGGATACTAATGCAGATCTTAAACCTGGGGATCCCGTTCTGGATTGGCCTACTAGAAAACATGTAGCACTAGGCACAGCACGTGGATTAGAGTATCTCCATGAACACTGTAATCCTAAAATTATTCACAGGGATGTTAAGGCTGCTAATGTCTTGTTGGATGAAGATTTTGAAGCTGTTGTTGGTGATTTTGGGTTGGCAAAGTTAGTCGATATAAGAAAGACTAATGTAACGACTCAAGTCCGTGGTACAATGGGTCACATAGCTCCTGAATACTTGTCTACTGGAAAATCTTCAGGAAAGACAGATGTTTTTGGCTATGGAATTATGCTGTTAGAGCTTGTAACTGGCCAACGGGCTATAGACTTCTCACGCTTGGAAGAAGAAGATGATGTATTGTTGCTCGACCATGTAAGATGACAATCTCATATAATTCGTCATTTGCATTTTTATTCTCCCTATCTCTCACTCCGTGTTTTCTGTTTTCTGTTTGTCTCTCAATTATATAATTTGTGTTCGTATTTTTATTCTTGCAATCTGTCCATACACATGATTACTTGCGCACATTCATGTACCTGCATAAACACTAGTATATATATGTTTCCTATAAATTGAAATTTTATTGAGGTTAATAAACCTCAGATACAACATATCAGCAAACATTTAAAACTTACAGGTGCTGAACATTTACCAAGGTTCCCCATTGTAAGAACAACTCTCAGTTCTCTACATTTCTGCATATTCTTCCTGTCAGCAATCTTCAGCTGTCTTCCAATCACATAACAGCAATAAAGTTGTTCAGTATAGTAGAGTCAGACCTGCATCGTTTCTATTAATTGTTGCTTGAGAAGATCTATAACATTCGATTGTATAAACCTGGAGTCAAGTTAAATATTGAAAGCAAAGCATTTGGACTTCGATGGTGAAAAGTATTGCCCATTTTTTGTTGAATGATATAGAATTAAGCATGAAGTAATTTATTTCTAATGAGATCTTACTGTTTTAGTTACTTCACTGATCCTATGCACATCACCTTGAAGGTTAAAAAACTCCAAAGGGAGAAAAGACTGGACGCTATTGTAGACTGCAACCTAAAGACAAACTACAATATCCATGAAGTGGAGATGGTGATTCAGGTTGCATTACTCTGTACTCAATCATCACCAGAAGATCGTCCAGCAATGTCAGAGGTCGTAAGAATGCTGGAAGGAGAAGGGCTTGCTGAGAGGTGGGAAGAATGGCAGCATGTTGAAATCACTCGGAGGCAAGAGTACGAGAGATTACATAGAAGATTCGACTGGGGAGAAGATTCAATTAACAACCAAGATGCTATCGAGTTGTCTGGAGGAAGATAATGGTGGGCTGATACATCTAAATAAGTATGTATTTTCTTGTGATTGGCTGCGTTTAATGAAGTACGATTTCATTCCATATTACAGAAAGCAATACGCGTTCTTTGCTGGTTCGTTTTCGTTCTTACTTTTCTTGGTTCTCTCTCGTATTAATTAATTATTTATTTAACGTGTGCGCATCTGTCTGATGGTTTCCTTCACCATCAAGACAGTTTCCCCTGGGCTAATGTTAAAATTTTGCAATGTGCAACAGACAGAGACACCTACAGGCATATAAAATTGTGCCCGTCTTATTATGATTCCTATTAAGTCAAGCTAATTCCTCTGGTCGATTCAGATACGTAAGTCTTGTATACATTTCTCACACCATATATACTAGACAAACAGGAAAAATTGCCCCTGAACCAATCGAGAATTGGCCTAGACTTCTCCACACGTGAATAAGAATACGGTGCTGAAAAATGTATTCAGACTTCTATTCTATCCTTTCATGGCTCCTCCTCTTCATCATCTCTATTGCTTCTGCTTCTCGTATTCTTAAAACAAAGAAGAAATCAGTAATTGGCAGAGACAAACTTCCACTAAACCCTCCAAAGCTTCCCATAAGATGCAAAATGCATCAGATGGGCAAATTGCATCACCAAGAACTATGGAAACTCGACCAAAAATATGGTCGTGTAATGCTACTACAGCTAGGAAACATCCCAACATTAGTCATTTCATGGCTAAACAAATCGTGAAAACTCGTGAAACCAGCTTCGGTAGCCGGCCGCCTTCTCCTGTGGCAAAGAAGATTTTCTACAATTTTTCAGATGTGGCGTTCGCCCCATATGGTGATCATTGGCGTCAAATGCGTAAAATATTTCTTTGCCACCTCTTGAATTCCAGGACAGAACAGTCATTCCACCATGAAAGGGAGTTTGAGGTTGGCCGGTTGATTGATTGTTTATCAGCAGCCTCGCCATATTCAGTTAATCTTGATGAGAAAATGTTTGATTTGGTTGGTGGAGTTGGTGCAGTTGGTAAAAGCTATAAAGGGAAAGGATTCGATGGCCGGGAAGTAGAAGATATTCCTGATGAAGATACGGATATGGCGAATAGTTGTTTCCGCAGAGGACTTCTTCCCATTCTTTGGGCGGATTATAGATTCTGTAACTGGACACCGAGTGAAGGTGGATAGATGCTTTCAGAAACTTGGATTCCTACTTACAAATGGTGCTTGACGAACATATGAATCAAGAAATGAGAAATGGGGAAGATGAAGATCTTGTTGGAAGTTTTGATTGAACTGTCAAAAGAACCTACTGGAGTATATATAAGCAAAGACAACATCAAGGGCATTCTCATGGCAACAATCGTCCCCCGTTCGCTAACACGCTTGGTAGGGAATTATGGATAGTACTGGACACGTGGTTTCCAAGTTCTATTAATGCATACCAAACATGCTAAAAAAAAAAACAAAAATAATAACTTTTTAAGTGTTTTCAGTTGACAACCTTCTTTATTTAGCCCATTTAACATGGTTCTGAACGTGTAAATTGATGCTTTACTTTTTAATTTCAGAACACACTTCTAGGGGGCGTGGATACTAGTGCAATCACCTTGGTGTGGGCAATGTCTGAGCTTGTCAAAAATCCTAGAGTAATGCAGAAAGTTCAAATAGAAATCAGAGACAGCGTTGGAATGCAAGCAAGAGTGGATTCAGATGATCTGAAAAAGTTGACATACTTAAAATTGGTGGTGAAGGAAACCCTAGTGCAATCACCTTGGTGTGGGCAATGTCTGAGCTTGTCAAAAATCCTAGAGTAATGCAGAAAGTTCAAATAGAAATCAGAGACAGCGTTGGAATGCAAGCAAGAGTGGATTCAGATGATCTGAAAAAGTTGACATACTTAAAATTGGTGGTGAAGGAAACCCTAAGGATGCATCCACCAGTACCTCTTTTACTCCCATGCCAAAGCATGCAACATAGCAAAATAAGAAATGACAATAATGTTCACGATATTTATCCCAATACAAGGGTGATGATCAATGCTTGGCGAATAGGGAGGGATCCAAGTAGTTGGAAAAGCCCTAATGAATTTCTCCCTGAGCGATTCGAGGAGAGTGAGATTGATTTTAGAGGGTTACATTTTGAATTACTGCCATTTGGGGCTGGCAGGAGATTGTGCCCAGGAATAAGCACTTCCATTGCCACTAGTTTACATTGGCCAATCTTTCGTACTGGTTTGATTGGCAAGTGCCTAGTGGGGTGAAGGTGGACTTGGAATAAGAAGGTGGAGTTACTGTCCACAAAAGAACGACCCTTAATCTTATGCCTATTAAGCATGCTTGGCAATAGAAGTTTGTTTTGGATCTTTGAATGTGTTTCTAGATGTCTCCTAGTGAATATGTTCTATAGCTAGTTTCAAGTAGGCTATATAGATATTTATTTATTTGGTCCTTTAAATTTATTTTAACTCAAAAGTCGATAAAGTTTCATATTGGTTCCATTCTAGTCACTCTGGTGAGGTTAATGTCTAATTTTGTCACACACAGAGATTGCTCCTCTCTCCATTCGGCAAGAGAAGATAGTCAACATCTAGACGTATGGCTTTAAGTACTAAATAGTATGTTAATGGTGTCATCATATGCATGTATTGTCTAGCATCCTACTCATTATATGAGTAGAATGCCCCCTGGGGCATAAAACCTTAAGGGCCAAACTTGCGATCCATGAGATTTGGTATTTGAGCAGGACCGCTTAAATGCACGTTGTTGGTTGTGGAAGATCATCCGTGCATTCTTGCGAAAAAGATTTTACGCCACGAACCGAGTCTGCAAACAAACGGAACTGATAAAGAAAGCTTTGGGGAATGAGAAAGGCAAGCATTGTGCAAATAAACCTATATGCATTTCAGCTTGTTTTGTGATGCACATATTGCAGAGCACAATGATGGAGATTGTGTTGGTGCTTTAACATTTGTAGTGGCGTTGAGACAGAGGCCGTCCATCCAAGGAACTAATGCATGAGGGGCATATGGCACATAGAAATGTGGTGAAACGGACTTGCTCGGGCAAACTAGTCTCATAACATCAAAAGGTTGACGACAAACATGTATTTTTGTTTTATGTCTCCGTCAAGTCATTTTTGGTCACTGCAAATCAAGTCGGCTTTACCCAGCTTAATTGCCACAACTAATAATAACAGTTCATCGTTTGGTATCCAGTCACATAAATAGGGAATGTTTGGGTGAACCAAAAAGTTTGGATAGAGTAGGATCTAAGCACTTACTAGGTAAGCATTGTGTACTAAGAGAAGTAGTTATGGACCTTGTAAACCATCTCCATCAAATTGGTATAAGGAGAGAATTGAGAAAGTGGCTATTAACCGAAAATTTCAACCCGTTAAAATAAGGGAAAAGTTCACTTTTCCTACTTTATCTTTACCCTATTTCAAAAATAACAAAACAACTTTTACATTTCAAAAATCAGATTTCTTGACCTATATATACACACATTTATAAATATTTATTTATTTATTTAAATATATAAAAAGATATAAATAAATAAATAAATA